AAAGACTTTTCAGTCCTCGATAAAATGCTACTCCCTCTATCTCAAAATATAGCAAATTTAGTTTTTATACTAATTCAAGCTTTCTAAAGTTTTTAGGAAAAAATATATTAACATCCACAATTTCAAATGAACTCATTTTGATCAAGTCCTATTCTCACATAATTTAATAAAATCAATTTGATATTGGTTCATTAAAATCAGAGAAGTTCGACTTAAAAGACAAGAATAAAGTGAGGTATAGTTTGCAACCAAAGCGAGTACACACAAGTTGATGACGATCCACAAATCCAACAAAAGATGCTACCACAGGACGATAAGTTTATCTTCCCTGAAAAAAAGGACGATAAGTTTATCCATGCATTTATTTGTCGACAATGGTAGTGATGTTTACCGTGTCTAACTAGCTATGACGTACTAGCTGCCTTATGCCAAAAATGATTAATTAATAAAGAAAGTCTGATCCCAACACGCAACTAGTAATATAACCGGCCACGATTGTTGGACATCCTGCGGTTTCGAAAATAAAGCGCAAGTTGCCATGCGATCCTTGCTGCATCTCGGCTTAGCGTAGGGACTAACTAATTGTCGTTGTTAATGGCCAACTTAGCTTGCACGTCATGATGAAATCTGCTATTAATTACTAGTGCTAAGTACTGCACTAACCCACACCAGAAAGGAGCAAGTTGATCAAGTTCATGATGATGCGTGTGCCAACTGGGAAATGTACCTTCTAGTCTAGTGTAGCTAGCCTGTCAACAGCTAGCCAGCCAAAAAAAAAAAAAACGCACTGACACGATCATGCATGGATGGGGTGACTGAATATATGTTTGCTACCTGCAGCTAGCTAGACTAGTGTGTTAGGCATGAGGCTTTTGGTTTGGCATGCAACTAGTACTAGCTCTCTAGCCTTATTGGGCACAATTATTATTATTTTTGTTACTGGAACTCTACATATAACGATTAACGAGTTTGTAGTTAGGTAACCTATATGGCTATATATAGAGACCTGTCATTGGTAAACGACGTGACGATATCATTAGTTACAAAATTTGCCGATGCTACGATAGGATATTTATATTTAATATTTATGTTATAATATATAGTTACTACGTTTTCAGAGGGAATCTGTGACCATTCCGTCCATCAGGTACGGATTAAGTAGGGCCGACCACATATGTGTGCTCTGCAGAGCTACACGTAGAACGGCGGAAGGTTTTCAAGGCCACGTTTGTAGACTACGCCTTGTCCGTACACACATGCTCCGATCCATGTGCTTGCATTTTGCTCGGCGGTTTGGGTTCAGTCGACAGGTAAAATGCTGCAGGTCGATCGAGATACGTATCTCGTTGCAGGTTGATGAACTAGCTCGAGACGATTCCTTGATCTATTATCTATATATGCTAGTGATCTCTTTTTTCAAGCCACTATATGACACATGGGGACCCAATGTGTCCATGACGCGTGGGCCCCATGGGGCATTACGGTACCATTTCTTCTCAAGGATTTTGTGACGAAGTGATGACACCGAATCCAGCGTGTTAAACACCAGCGCCAGCGGGCACCAGTCCACCACACGTAAGTTCCTCGGTCGATCGCGTCCATCGACCGCATGCACATCATTAAACCCTCAAGCAACAGGGCGGGGGCGCAAGCTGCCGATATACGTGTAAAAGGCAGCACGGGAGAAAAAGGTCCACACACGGCACAGTCCTTGACCACAAACGCAGAAGCCAAATTGCACAAGTTGGGAGCAGAATATGTATTGCCCTGCCACCTTTTAACCTTTCTATTCTACATCTCCGGCCTCCTCTACTCGCTCGCTGCTGTTCCTTTAATTTCCTTCTCTCCTCGTCACATCGCTCTCCGAGATCTAGAGAGAGAGAGAGAGGGACATGCATGCACGGAGCCCGTCCCGGCCCAGCGCGTGTGATAGTTTATGTTATCCACCGACCACTATTCAGTGTCGCCACGACGCCAATTTGCTGCTGCCTCTGGCACTAATTCGGCACACGGCAGTGTGCGTGCATGCACCTGAGCCGAGACAATACGTGCAACTTGCGGGTCTGTGCGCGCGCTCATGCCATAATGCACGTGGGTGCACTTTATTAGTTTGCACTCTATGGGGAATAATACTATATATATACTACTCCATACTAGTACTACTTTTGTGTTCACGCACCCTTAAGGCCATGTTCGGCTGGCAATAAATCAGTTTCTGCTTATTTGTACGACTGTTTTGTTACGAGAGAAAAATATTGTTTCACAAATAATTTATATGGATTAAAGTCGGCTGAACAGCACAAGCGAACTGACCCCTAGTTTGTTGGTCGACAAAACCTACTCATTGGTGCCATTGTATTGACTAGTACTTACGTGCTCACTTCATTTGGGGAATTAGATCGATATCGATCGGATTAGAATTCTCATCCAGTTAATCTTTTACGGAAATGATTTATTACGGGCGCGCACGTGTTAGCCAAGGCGCTCACACTCAGCCCCCCGCGCCCGCTCGCACGTCTCCCGCACTCAGCCCTGCCTGTGCCCGCACTGAGAAGCGCCCACTCTCTCTCTCCGGCGACGGCGACCGGTGAGCCCCTCCCGATGGCGTCCTCCCACGCCCGCGCCCCACCGCCTTCCCACGCCTGTGCCGGCCATGGCGGATCCGCCGGATCCGGCGGCGGTGGCGGCGGATCCGCGCCAGGTAGGCCTCTTCCTCATCTCTCTGCTCTCCTCCTTGTGGATCTGATTTCTAGGGTTCCGACGAGCTCACCCTATCATCTCTTCCAACACCGGTGGGCTATAGAATGGCCGGCTAGGGGGAGAGGCTGGTAGGCCAAGCAGTGGCGATGGTCGATGGGCGGTTTAGGGGAGCTGGCGGCGGCAGGAGCGGTCGGGGCGGGGGAGCTCCGTCCATGGTGGCGTTGACGGCGGGGGAAGGGGGGAGAAGGTGGCACCACGGGTGAGCTAGGGATTCGCTAGAGCTCCTTGGCCACGGCCGCGGAGCTCCGAAGAAACCCTAGCTCACCGCGGTGAGGCGGTGGCGGTGGGTGCGAGGGCGCCGGAGTCGGGGAAGAGAGAGTTGCTGTGTTTTTTTTTCTACGACTAGAATCTGCTGTGGAGGAGGTGAGCGGGTGAAAAACTCAGATCCTGCACGCGCACGCTCTAGTAGCGCCCAATCTTTTAACTTTGTTCATGAACAATATGTAAAGAAGAAGTATTACTACCTCCATCCCCAAAGAATGCAATTCTAGCACAATGTCACATTTTACTACCTTAAAAAATATCCATATTTATGATACAAAATAAATACCATCAGGTTAATTACGAAATATATTCAATAAATTAATTTAAAGAGATAATTATGAATATTATTCACTAAAAACTTAGTCACACGTGAATCACTTTTCGTGACACGTAACCCATAGTTGCATTCCTTTGAGAACGGAGGTAGTACTACATTATATAAGCTAGATGACATGACATATATATAGTACAGTGAAATAGATGTCTATTAAAGATCCATACATCATCAGCCTGTTCGGTTGGCTGGTTCGTTTCGTTGTTGGTTCATAAAGAAGTACTGTTGACTGGTTTATGTGAGAGAAAAATACTGTTTCGGCTGAAAATTTACGATCATTTACGACGAGCCATAGCCAAACAAACAGGCTGCATGAACAGAACACTTGCATGGTATTTATTTATTTGGTTGTCTGAAATGTCCTGTTCTCGTACCAATTACCAGTCAAAGTGTCACCTCATAGCCGTGACTGTCGGCCGATATATCGTATCCTTGGCATGCTATTGCTAGCTGCGTCCTTCTCAGTCCGATTGCAACCTCTACACGCCGCGGTAACTAATATGGTATTTACTGTGCATGCACCGCACAAGTTTGGCATCTGGTTCTCTCGCTCGGTCACTCCTTTTTTTTCCTTTCTTTGTGTGATGAAGCGGACAGGCGTGGTAGTATTTACGGTGCATGCACCACAACACACGTTTGGCCTCTTTGTTTCCCTCGCCCGGTCACGCTCTTTTCCTTCTCTGTGAAGTGAAGCGGACAGGGACAGTGCATGCACGCACCAGCACCACGGAGAGGAGAGCGAGTTGCCGTGCGCGTGCGCGTGCGCCTGGACTGGTCCTGTGGTGGTGGTCTAGCCATGTGCGGTGTGACATCGACGCGGCCCCCAGGCCAGGCGGGGGGAAAGGCGGGCGGAGGGGAGGGAATCCGCGACGAAATATCTCATGGCCGCGACGCGCCAGGTGCGGAGCGGACGAGCGCGACTGCGCGAGGCAGACGCAACCGCGGAGTTTTTTGGGAACAAAACATGTGTCGCCCCCGGGGAACGAAGCGAATCGCGGGCGGACGGAAAGGGAGGGAGGTGGAAGCGCGTGAATGCGATGCGAACCCTGTGGGTTGTGGCGCTTGACCAAGCTAACACGGAACAAGCTCCCCTGCAAAAGCTGTGGCCAGCAGTGGCCCGGCCCAAAAAAAGGAGAAGAGCTTGTCTCCTCGCCTACAACACATCAGTCCAGTTGCCAGTCCCGGGACACGGCACACAAAATAATATTTAGACATTTGCAAGCCTTTGCCAAGCAGATGAATCGCCGCCCACACGGACAGCTTGAAGAGGACGGCACAACATAGAGTAGCGGCTATTTTGGGGGAAGTGGATAGATGATTTTTTGCAATACCTGTTCCCCACTACTCATAGCAGTTCCAGACAAAAGACGCACAATTGCTGTTATCAATTGCGCCAAAAATGCAGCCCATGCCAAAGTATCTAGACAAGCCTGGTGTTCCTAGTTCCTAGGACATGAAAGTATCCTCACTGCTTTCGTTTCATGGATGAACTGCAAAATGTCAGTCTACGCAGCAGCAGGGCCTTGTTGTTGCCTAAGGCCATTGTTGCGCTCAACCCTCCCGTTCCCGTTGTTGTTGCTGGGGCGTCGCTGTTGGTAGCCATCACTGCTTTCGTTTCATGGATGGACTGCAAAATGTCAGTCTACGCAGCAGCAGGGCCTTGTTGCGTAGGGCTATTGTTGCGCTCAACCCTCCCGTTCCCGTTGTTGTTGCTGGGGCGTCGCTGTTGGTAGCCATTCCCAGAGTAGCCGTTGCCGTTCTGCTGGTAGCTATTCCTGTTCTGGTGGTAGCCGTTGCCGTTCTGAGGGTAGCCGTTCCCTTGCGGTCCTCGGACACAGCCTGAATAGTCGTTCCTCGTGTTATCTCCATCGTGGTAGTAGCCGTTGTTCTGACCGCCCCACTGCCGCTTGTAGCTGTCCCCGTAGTAACCACCTCTGCCATACTGGAAGCCATTGTCATCCCCACGTGTGATAACACCATCGACAACTGAAATAAAAAAAGAAAAAGAAGCACGTCAGTTGAATTCAAAAAAAAAAATGAACACAGAGGCACAAACTAGCTCAAGCACAAGACCAAGATAATTATATCATCAAAGGTTAGACAACTGAAAAGCCCCAATAATGGTAAGCAGCTACTAGTTGCTAGAATCCAAATTAATTAACTACAAAGAAAATGTAGGGAGTTGCACATGAGCTAGTTCGCTGTGTATGGAAATATTTAGCCCAGGATGGAATGGAACCAAAACCAAACTGCAGACACCATCTAGTAAAATATTCTTGCTAACCAACACAGCCACGACTTCCCTTCTCTGGGAATATAATTCAGAATTTATGACAGTAAGAGGTCAGGGTGCCATTACTTTTACAAAGCCACCTATCTATCTCTACAGTGAACATGTTGAGGCAGTATGTCAACAATTATGAACCACAACATGCTCATTCGCCTAGACTTATGTAGATCGGAATGCTTCCTCACCTCGTGTTTTGGTTCTTTTCTCCTCAACATATGATTCTCTTGTGCCGAAATAAACCGTAGAAGCCTAAAAAAAGGAAATATTATTATTTGTAAATACTGTGAGCCATCATTGAGTTATTCAAACTTTATAAACCCACATGCACATAGTTCAGCGTAAGTCAAAATACATAGATAAATGTTCTCCAGCTAACTGAAACTACTTCATTAATGTAGCTTACAGACTGCAGATGCCTAGAAAAGTAACCAAATACATGAATGCAACAGAAGAATTTAACTGCAAAGCATGCTCTAAAACAAGTCAACTAGACAAGAAGGCAAACAAACCTCGATGGCTGCTACCATGGATTGCTGAGACTCAAATTCAACAAAGCCAAAGCAAAACTGATCAGGCTGCAACAACATGAAGAAAATGTCAACAAGTGTAGAAACTAAAGCACATCCCACTCGAATTCTTGTTTGGTTTGAGAAATGTTATGAGTTGATCCATCACCACTTCATTCCCCTTTTGAATACAATTAGTATAAACATGATGAATGGGGCCATCCCACCAAAATTCATAGAATCGCCTAATGATGGATCAACCCCTCAAAACCAAACACCCATAAACCTACAAATTAAACTAACCTGGCATTTGACTTGTATACCACCAGATTTAATAGAACCAAACTTGCTGAACTCTTGTTCCACCATTTCAACAGTTGCGTCGAAAGGTAAATTTTTAACAAAAATTGAGTACCCTGGCTCTGCAAAGCAAGGTAGCGTTACAATTCAGAATAAACCCCATTATTTTCTTGTTTCTTTAAACAAGAGACTGAAGTAGAAAAGGGAAACTAACCATCATGTGATTTATTTTTAGGAACACTTTTATCGCCTGGGAGGGCATTATCAGTAGAATGAGCAGGTTTTGAAGGTGAGGACACATTTTTCTCCACATTTTGAGCCGCCTTTGGCCTTGGATTGGGTTTGGCGGGTCTGGCAGCTGGGGCAGGCTGTGTGCCCTCCCTCGTGGTTTTAACCTACAAGTCACCAACAGACAATACAAAAATAAATATGCCAACACGCAATTCGCCAGATGATTGAAAAAAGGCAATATAATAACTCAGACACATTAGATACTTGCAGCGGTAAAAGGTACATGAAAGTAAAAATAAAAAATAAAAACTCACAATTGATGCATAAGTCTTCCTAGTTACTTCCTTCTCATCTGATGAGGGAGGAGCTGGAGCAGACTTCACAACTGGTGTGGGAGGAGCTGCAGCTGCCTTCTCGACTGGTGCGCGAGGAGCTGGAGCAGCCTTCTCAACTGGCGCAGGAGGTGCTGGAGCAGCCTTCTCAACTGGCGCAGGAGGTGCTGGAGCACCCTTCTCAACTGGTGCGGGAGGTGCTGGAGCTGCCTTCTCAACTAGTGCGCGAGGAGCAGGAGCAGCCTTCACAACTGGTGCGCGAGGAGCTGGAGCAGCCTTCTCAACTGGCGCAGGAGGTGCTGGAGCACCCTTCTCAACTGGCGCGGGAGGTGCTGGAGCAGCCTTCTCAACTGGCGCAGGAGGTGCTGGAGCACCCTTCTCAACTGGTGCGGGAGGTGCTGGAGCAGCCTTCTCAACTGGTGCGGGAGGTGCTGGAGCAGCCTTCTCAACTGGTGCGTGAGGAGCAGGAGCAGCCTTCTCAACTGGTGCTCGAGGTGCTGGAGCAGCCTTCTCAACTGGTGCGCGAGGTTTTGGAGCAGCCTCAGGAATCTTCTCCAAATCCTTGTTAACTGCTTTCTCAGCAGTAAGAGGAGTTGAAGCCTCAGGTATCTTCTCCACATCCTTGTTAACCACTTTCACACATGTCTCAACAACAGGATCATTTTTAACTGGAGAAACAACATTTGCAGAGGTGCTGACAACTTCACCATTGGGCAGGGTTGTAATCTGTGTGCTTTTATTATCATGGTTAGCTACAACTTCCTTCACCTCAGTTGAAATCCGGGTAAGTCTGAACATATCATTCAAAACATAATAGCCTCTGTTTTCCTGTGGAGCAAGAAAGAATGACTGTGTGAACTTCTGTTTCACAGCATCGGTTGTAAAATATCCAGCAACCAAAATGAGCACACCATCCACATGGGATGGCTGTGCATCAACAGTCTCTATCTCTATCAAACAGTCAGCAAAGTCTGTAGACACAAGTTGCTCCTTGATATCCTGCTCAAGCACATAAAATAAATTGATCAGCCCATCAGAATCAACATAGGAATAAAAAGCTATGACTGATTTATACAAGATATAAACAATAAATCAGAGCTAAAAATCATAATTTCAAGTACTAGTCCATGCTCCACCCATTCACTTGTTATTATTCCTATGTTTGAAGTGACTAAATTCACTTGTTTTTCTTGTTGCTTCTATACATATAGAGATAAGGCATTGCCAAGTTTGTTCAATTTGAAACCAAGATTTAATCGAGACAGGAGCCTATGGGAGTGTTTGGTTTGATCTATGGAGTGGCCCACTACCTCTATTTTTTTTCTAGTTTAGGAAATGGAATGGGTTGATCCATCACCACCTCATCCATAAAAAAAATAGGAATCATCGTAAAAGAACAGTTTGTTGGCCATGATATACTAGCGTAGTTAAGCCTATCAGCCATATATTTGATTAGCTTCTAAATTAATAAGGCAGATAAGAAACATGTCATCAAAATTCACATTCTGACATTGAAACCAGACAAAACTTCTATTCCAAAGTTCCTAGAATCCATTGATAGCACTAGCATCATGACGTTGCAGAGAACTTACATTAATTGTGGTTACATTCATCATTTTCCCATTAGAATCTGTTCGACCAAGAATACTTGAGTCATTATAGAACTTATAGGCATCCTCTCGTGTGTAACGAAGAGTTTGGTAGTATTGTTTAACAAATGCTTTAGCAACCTGTAAGCAGAAACATCATTACTTTCAGTCCAACTCAAAGATTATTGACAAACGTAAAAGTTAATTAAAGGGTTGAAAAACAATACCACTTGTGGAGTAAAAGAAGTAGCTGGGCTCCCAGCTTCCAAGGCCATTGCTGCACAAGGTATAGCAAAATTAGTATTTAAGAGCCTTGAAGTGGACTGTTAGGAGATGCACGGTTATCCAGTGTAATGAAAAGGAAACAAGAAAAGATTCTATCTAGTTTGCCAAGCACCCAAGTAGGAAGGTTACTGAAACATTGGAAAAAGAAGCAGTAAGCAACCCCAAGGTAAATCATCCAACAACCTATGCAAGTATGTAGTTACCATCTCTTTCTTAAGAAAGTAAAGCAAGACAATTTAACAACATCCATATCAATTACGCCCATTGTACAAACTTACGTCGAAGAAAAGATATCAATGTTGTTGAATTTGACCAGAAGTTCGGTGTTGACTGCCAAGTGCCAACCAGAAGTACAAACGGCAGGAGACAGCATGATGGTAGTTCATGAATTCATGTTTCCTTCTTAATACCCTGATTCCACATTGTGCATTTTCATACACTACTGGGAGCTGCGACTAGCTTAGCAGCAAATCAAAACCAGACAAATTCACGCTAGTTCACTGTTATGTTGCATAAATGTCAATCTTTTTCACCAAAAGAAACTTAAATTCCATCTAACCCAACCTTTTTCACCACAAGAAACATAAATTCCAACACAGGCGTAGGAAGCAAGAGGTTGATCGTTCTTCACCACAGGAAACATAACTTCCGTCTAATCCTACACAGGTGTAGGAAGCAAGAGGATCTGATTGTCATGACGCCATCAGAACACAAACAAAAACTCCAGCCAGAACCACAACACGAATTCCAATCTACTAACCCCTCGATTGCAAAATAATCTCGGCACGAAAGAAACTACTCCCTCCCCAATTCGCAATTTACAGCCACTGGATTCCGAAGTAATCTCGCTACTAAAACAACGCACCACCACAGTCGAGACAACCCGATCGCCAGTAATACACACATTCAAACAATCAAACCTATGCGGAGGGATCGAAAAGCATTGAAAGAGGGAAAAGAAAGGGATGCGAACCTTGGGAGCGGGAAGGCCCACGGAGACGGCGCCGCCACGAGACGACGCCGCCTTCGCCCGCGACGGGAACGGCAAACCCTAGCGAGTCGACGCGAACGCGAGGCGAGTCGGCGGCGCGAACAGAAGCGAGCCGCGGACGCCGGGGCGTGAAACGGGGGGCGTGAAGGGTTTATAGCGAAACAGGACAAGAGGGTTTCGAAAAGGGTTTAATGAGGCGCGGGCTCCCGAAGCAACCATGTTTCTCTGACGTGTGGGGCCACATCTAACTTACCATGGGCTACACGCGTGACGGACTGACGGAGGGTGTGGTTGGGTGGGTTTCGCCGTTTCGACGTTTCATTTCCTTCCCAGTCACGCGTGCAAAGCACTCCAACGGGCCAAACATGATAATTTAGGGCCCATGTGACTTTCGTCCCTGTGTGTTAGGCCTGGCTGATCTTGGCCGCCGAACAGTTTCCCAGCCCATTAAGTTGTAGCGGGGGGCGGCCGCGGTGGCCTCGCCATTCCAATTTCCACTACGATTGGCGGCCTGTGGCCACTGGCCACCACTACCACCACTAATAACTGCTCCAATGCCTGTGCGGGGCCGCCGGGCCGCCGTCGGTCGTCAGATGATGAATTTGACGAGGAGGGTGGAGGCGGCGATGCGTTCTCCGAGATCGCGATCGTCAGCTCACCGTTCCTAGCCAGCTGGCAGTGGCGCGCCGACCGCGTGCTCGACGAAACGATTGTGAGGCGCGCGCGCGCACTGAGCGTGGCGCCGGAGGGCGCTTGCTCCTATGCGCCATTGCCTGACTGGGAGAGCAGCGTCTCGCATCTGGGCCGCGCGTGCTAGCTGGCGGCGTCGCCCACCATCGGTGCCAGGTCCTGTTGCAGATGACCCGCTGATGGGGACGACGCTAACTTATTGCTTCCGCTGCCTGACATGGCGGCGTCGGCATTCCATGTGCGGTGCCGAAAGGCTTCCTCCCAAGCTCAGGACTGTTCGTCCTTGGCGATGACGCGAGCTAACCGCACGGGGGGGCCGTGGCACTGTGGCAGTACACATGTCCGAGCCGATGAATGTCCGAACGTGTTCGTTATATTTGGCTGCGAACAGTATTTCTTTCCCACGCCAAACCAGCCGACCCTACTTTTAGCCGCTGAAAGTCTGAAGGGGCATCGAGTGCCGGAGTTCTGTGTGAAAGTCGTTGTCAGATAACTCCGGGAGGTGGATCATTGCAAACTTGGCCAATTCACTGTGCGCGCACAGTTTGGAAAATGGCAAGCATGCATGCCGGTCTGGGATTGGAGTTGGAGGTACGCCTTGCTCTGTCACTTTCAGCAAATGCCTGTCCTGTCCTGTCCTTGTCTGTTCAATTCATCTCTCTGCTCCCAATTTGCATCCGGTGTCATATCCCGTGTCCTACATGATCTAGCACTGCAGTGTTAGATGTCTTCACACTTACTCCCTCCGTCCCCCTACAGATGACGTTACGAAACCATGCAAGTCAAATTTTTTAACTTTAACTAAGTTTATAGAAAATACGTGCAACATTTATATCTTTAAATAATTTTATTATAAAATATATTCAACGATCTATCTAATAATACTAATTATATATTATAAATATTAATATTCTTTTATATATAATTGATTAAAGTTGAAAAAAGTTGACTTCTAAGAAAACAAGAATGTATTCTATTTTGGGACAGAGGAAAATATCGAGTCCGTTTACTTTGGGGAGGGACGGAGGGTAGTGTCTCGTTTTGTTGATCATGTGTGAATGCCGGTTGGAACTGTTGCATTCTTTTGGCTAAATAGTAAGACAGTTTGGACTGCAGTTTTAGAACCCCAGTTTGGTGTCATTAGCACTCTGCCAGAGTGGCAGAAGACATCTTGTTATCTATAATAGTATGAGATGTTCCTGAACTATAGAAGCCAAATGGTCCCTGCTTCATGAAAAAAGAAACAACGGCTTGTGTAATTGTGCCGCATGCGGCATGATTCAATCAAAACAACATCACACCATTAAACAGAAGTTTACTAAGAATATTATATTTATATTTCTTGCTTCTGGCAGCAATACTAGTGTTGAGGATCATTTATACTCCTTCTACAGTTTAGTCTTCAGAAAAATAGAAAATGTCACATTTACTAGTTGCTACTTGCTATAAGCTTCTTAATGGAAATGACTACTACAGCGCATATTCAGTTTATACTACTGAAAGAAAGCTGCCTCTGCAGCTTCCTTTGTACAAATTGCATCTTCTCTGTAGTCTCACCGCCGATGACCTCGTCGATAAGGCCCTTGAAGATGGATCGTTCAATTTCCCGAACCATGCCATGTAGCACAGTGTCGAAGCTCATCCAGTCTTTCGTTCCATTGACTGTATCCTCATCTAATATCATGTTTTCATTCTCCTCCTCCTCGGAGCATTTTATTAGCCTGTCAACCTCAGTGCATAAATCCTTGAATAGTTGCCACCCACTTAACTTCCTTGATTGAAGAAACTTTACTGTCTGCCTTCCAGATCTGCAGATGCTCATCTTATGAGCTATTGTTTCATTTACCAGGTCAAACACAAGTCTTCGATGAAGCCTCCCTGTGTAAGGCTTACAACTTTTCTTAGCTCCGCTGACAGTGTGGAAGGCGGAAACTAAGTCTGGTTTTGTTTGCTCAAGAATGAGGAAGAGCTCCGGATTGATTGGATAATTTGATGGTTGGAGTTGACCAGGTAATACTGCGATACTATGTTCTTTGTGCAAAAGACCAGATGCCAACAGTATCTCATATATATACTGGTGATCTTTATTTGCAGTGACTGATGCCATGACTTCTTTGATACTTGCGTCTTCTTCATTCATTGATTGCAGTTGCTCAAGCTTCTGGATCAGAACTTCCAAATTTTCTGGTTTAATCTGGTTGACTTCACTGCTCGCTTTTGACTGTGGCGTGTCAGGCAGGCTGTTTGGGTTCCAGCATTCCTCTGAAGAATGTGTCTCACCATCTGAACAGGTAAAAGGGTATGTTCAGAAAACAATTCCTATACAGTACAGAACAATTTAATGTACCAAACGAAAATACAGAGTTCGCTGCCTGACAGTTCAACTGAAGAAAGCATGTATCAGACAGGAGAGACAAAAACACTGTCTACCTAGAATAAACATACAGATCATACACGCTGGGTGTATTTGTATAGGGGGACATTGGTGGGCACATCTATACTAGCATGTATGCACACCAAAAGACACATATCATGCTCCTGCATCAGCATTGCTGCTTGTGGGGTTGCAGCCATGCACTGTTCCTCCTAATTGCAGGACCACGAGCTACCTGGTAGCTTTTATTGCAGATTATCTGTCACTAGCGTTATCAGCACGCTGACAGCTAGCTATGCTTGTCCTTTTAGTAACACTATGGGTTTCTGAATTGAATAAAACCAAACCAAAGGATCTATCATGCTAATGTTCTTGCATGAAACAAGTGGATATCTAATGCAAATTAATACTGGTAACTAAGAAAATAACTTCTCACCTCTGAATGAATCTGAGATCCTTTTATGATAGAAGGATGTATCAAGGACAGAGACAGGGCTTGGAATGTTGTCCAGTGAATGAATGTTTTGGTCTGAACCCAGAATTGAAGGAGCCTGAAAGGGGGTAGAGAGAAATCGCTCATTAGTAAAGTAGTGGTAAACAATGAATACAGAATGCATGAAAAATGTAGAATTAGATGGATTATTGGTATGAACTTTCTTTCCGTTTTATCTGTACCTTGTGACTTGCTGTTGCAGCAGCATTGCTTGGTGGAACGAAGGTTGAGTTGCCACCCGGAGGCTTTGCACGATCCATAACGCTGACATCAACCTGCTTTGCTAAGCTTATTCTGTTCCCTGTACTCTGCAAGACCTCTTCACGGTGGCATTTCACCTGAGAAGGCTTTGATCTTATTCTTCCTTTTGGAGAGACAGCTTCATTGGACTTCTTGCTTGGAGATTTTGGTGAAACAGGTGGACGAGACCTCCTTTCAGGCTCTGCCTTCTTTAGCACATTTCTGGGACTTGATGAGCTTGTTGGCCTTGGCGAGCTAGCACTGCTGACAGTTTCTTCAGACTTCAGTTGAGCTCTTGACATCCGAAGATGCATCTTCTCATTTGTGCCAGTCTCATTTGTGCCGGTGAAAGATGAATATCTAGCCGGCAACTTTCTGAGGCTTCTGAGGCCTGCCATGGGAGCAACAGAAGCCAGTGAAACCCCATGCTTCTCAGTGGTTCTTGCAGGCTTCATGACCACAATAGGAGCCTGGACGGTTCCAGAGTTAGTGGTGAGATCATATCCTGTCCTGTGATTAGCCACTGATCCACCACTGCTGTCATTCTTGCTCTTAGCATCTTTTGCGTTCAATGCACCCAATATTCTGAGAGCCCTGAAGTCCTTGTTATTACACTCTAAGAAGTCAAAGCCCCCGACCCTTCTCTCTATATCAGCATAGACAGATGCAGTTCTTGGCCTCCCTTCAGCTTCTCGACATTGTTGTGCCTTGATATTGGTGGCACTTCTGTCCTGCTGCCTCCAAGGAGCTGCTTCTGTGACAATTCGTGGGGAAGGCTTGGTTTTCAGTACTGAGAACTCGTTCTTCAGCTGCATGCTGCAGGAATCCTGGCAAGTGCTTCTGGGGGAGCGTGATGGATGCTCATGGTGAGTGGCTTGAGCTGGTCTCGGTGATCTTGTGGGTTCACAGTTTTCAGCAGTCAGCACCCCTGTAGCATCTGTTGCTTCTTCCAACCCCATCAGCTTGGCAATAACACTGTTAGCTCTCCTATGGCTGGGGGAATCTTGAGGCCTCAAAGTATCCAGAAGAATATCATCAGTTCTCCTGTAACTGAGGTTCTTCTGACGTGAGCCTGGACTCAGAGACTCCTTCCTACTGTCCAAGGATAATCTAGGAAGCTCTTTTGGCCTCGAGGAAGGCCTCTTGCTTTCCTGGGTTTCAGCTGGCCGCAGGAGTCTTCGGTCATCACATGAGAAGCGTGACTGCTCCTGCAAACACCTTCTAGATTCAGTGACATTTGCAGGAACCTTTGTGGTCCTATCGATCCCAATGATACAGGTTCCATCCATTGATTTGGACAGCAGCAGTGGCCTCGGTGAGTCCTTGTACTGCCCGTTTCTTCTTGCCTCCTGCACCGAGGTTTTTACAGTCAGGCCTCCAGGGTCCCGGTTGATGGAGTCCTTCACTATGTCTCTGAAACCGACATTAGGATGCCCAGACTTGGTGTTCATGTCAGATTCCTTCAAACTTGGCGAGCTCTTCAGTGACCTCTGCACAAAGAGCTCCTCATTGATGTAAGGAAGCTCGTGTTGGACTGATTTGTTGCCGTCAAGGGAGGAGAAGGATGAGCACGAAGAGGAGGAAGAAGAAGCTCTTGATGATTCGATTGAAAGGCTGCTGTTCTCGGTCATACATTTGCTGAATGTTTTCTCCTGCATAAGCGAACGGGAGGTTAGTGCCAACTTCTTTATGCATTCATAACATACTTCTAAAATTCGGATGCATGAGTTTTCCCAGCCAAAAAGAAAAAAGAAGTTCAGTCCAATCTAGTAGGAATATTACCAGAACAATCTTTGAGGTACTTGAACTTTGAACTGGAACATTGCTACTGCTCTTTGGATGAGTATTGCCTGGAAAACATAAGGATGCATTATTAGAATAAAATATCTAACCAGAGAAAATCGAGCAATTTGTTATGCAATGATGGTAATGCAAAAGATGGATAAGGGCATAAGGTGATGAATTATTTGGGGGAAATTCATTAATAAATGATGTAAATATTACAATCAAATTGTTGTGCTGTCCTCTTCAGTTAATCTGTAATTGGTAGAAGGATTTATTTATTTTTTAAAACTAAATGTTAAGCTGTCCTCTTCAGTTAATCTGTCATTACTAGAAGGATTTATTTTTTTTAAAAAGTAGTAAATGTTAAGCTGTCCTCTTCAGTTAATATGGCATTGCTAGAAGGGTTTATTTAAAAAAATACAAAATGTTAAGACGTCTTCTTCAGTTCGATTACATAAATGAATTTATAATATACTGTTCAGCTGTCATCCTCAGTCATCAGCGAAAATAGTTATTCTCGTTCTATTTCCGGTTTTGGGTACCCGAATCTTCATCATTGGATGTCATTACGCCGATGCCGTGCTCATCTAGTGCTAAAAGGTAGTAGTATCATGTGCTGTCATTTAGTGCAATATTAAGGAAATGCTTTTATGATCACAATTACTAGAGTCAACCACTGCTATAGTACTGTACACATGTTTTTTCCTTACAGATGTACTGCTAACTTGCACAACAAACCTCCTAGTCTCTTGTCAGTAAAAAAGGTAAGTGGAAATAAAACTAGTATTCTGGTACCAACATGGCAATTTCTTTTGCAAGTTCCACTTTACAGGACGTGGCTCGCCCATGTTGCAAGCCAACCAGTTTTAATACTTGTATATATAATAAGCAGTTTTACCAACCAAATTTTTTTTATTCCTTTGATAGGTTGTTCTTTGCTGAACCTTCCAACTGTCAATCTTACCAAACTTTGAATAACAGTATGAAAGGGCTTGTGTTCATATTTCGAAGCAAATTTTTTATATAAGTAAAAAGAAATGGCACCTACCTTTCTCATCTCTAGTCAACCATACCAGGATGAGTAACAACTTGGAGAAGGGCGTGATTAGGGGCTGCTTGGATGGCTTCCAAAATATGACAAGCCAAAGATTTAGCAAGACATGATTTTTGCTCTCATTTGATTTGCTACAAAAACTTGCCAACCACTCACATTTTGCTTGCCAAATCTTTGGCAAGGTAAATTTTGGTCGTAAACCAAGTAGACCCTAGTAATTGGATCAGTTCTTAGAAGCAAAACGCTATTAAATTAAAAAAGTTAAAAGAAGAAAAAAAAACAAGGCTGTTTGTGAAAAACTTGAGCCAAGTGAATGCGAACGTAACGCAGCAGAAAGATGCAGGGAACAGAGAGCAGTGAGGAGCCATTACCTGGTGGGGTGGAAGGCGGAGGCAGCCTCTTTTGCTGCCGGGCGGCGCGGCCACCAGCCCCAGTGATGAGCCGCTGGCGGTCGAAGATCTGGAATATGCCGGCCATGCACCCCATTTGGCGCTGGAGGTCCCGCGTGTCGTCGGCCAAGCCGCCGGCGGCGGCGCCGCGCATCCTGGTGGGCATCTTCCCAAGCTCTCGCTGTCAGCACGATCAGGTGCGGAACGACGTGCGCGCTGCAGGACGATCGCCGAGTCGCATTCAGGTGCGACGACAGATGTGACCAGGCCGGCGGCGCCACCGACGGGAGTCGTCCCGAGGAAGAGAAGGTTCCGAGGCGGCAGTCACCGGTCAGAGCTGCGGCAAAGGCTGCGACTGCGAGGAGGAGGAGAAGCAGTTCTGCACGGATGTAGTAGAAGAAGCCGGAGCAGAGCAGAGTTCTCTTGTGTGTTTGGTTTTGGGATGGGGGCGAGTTCAGAGGAATGTTATCATTGCGGCGCCATGGCCATGCAGGCTCTCTCGTCGTGGGGATGGGGAAGGATGCCTGTGGATTTAAGAGGAAGGGCGGCGGGCGAGCCGGCTGCCTGTGGGTGTGGGTGTGGGTTTGGGTGTGCCGGCCGATGGGGTTGAAATAAGGGAGGGGCCGACTGCCGAGGGGGGCGCACCGGCATGGTGTGTTGGGGGTGGGTCAAGCCGTGTCCCTGGTCCTGCTAGCTGCTCCCGCTGCATCACAAGCCCCTCCCCCCCATGTGAGGGGTTGATCATTGCGAGCCTGTGGGTGTGCGCGGGCATGTGATGCCTGTCAGACCGCCCGCGCGCGCACAGGAGTTTTTGATCGAGGAAACAACGCATAGTCGAATACGCAATTACGCATGGCGGGGATGAGAGGAGAGGAGAGGCCACGGCCAGCCGGCCAGCCGGGCCGCCCCCCTTCAATTCGTGACGCGCCCGCCCCGCCAGCCCCAGCCTGCGCGCGCACCAGCCCCCGGCACGGGCGCCCATCTACCGTGTCTGTCTGTCCACGGGTCCCCGTGTCGCTGTGCCGCGTTACTGCGACCGAGAGGCGCATGCCAATGCCATCCCTCCAGCACGTCCAGTCCAGTTCTGTCCAGTCCTGCTGGGAGCCTGTGGGACGGAGTGGCAGCGATGACCGATGAGCGAACGGCGTATGTCCCCGGCGCGCGGCGGGGCGGGGTAGGCCGCTCGTCGGCATCGCCACCCTTTTGCCAGGATGATGAGAGGAACAGTGCTGCAGTCGTCCACGCCGGGGACCGCCGGCCGCCGGCCCCAGGGTCCACACGCGTATAAGCAACAGATGTACGCGTGTATATACGTATATACATCCGTCTATATCTAGGCATCATGCCTAGCTTGCGATCGATCGAGTACCTGAGATCCTGAGAATACGATAGGTTGTCATGTACTCTATTGGTCTCCTCTTCCGGTCTCCTGGATTGCATATATATGGATATACGACGCATACGTACCGGTACCAAACTACCAATCCTACGTAGAACGCATAGCAAGGGTAGCTGCTCATCATTGCACTCGTCTGTCTCGTCATACACATGCTCTGTTTGGTTGTACGCGACGCGCCCTCCGATCGAAATCGAATGCCTGCATGGGAGACAGACAGCGCGAGCCAGTGGCAGTGGCTGTTGCATGCATGCCGTTTACCACATCGTACCGTACCTGCTGGCCCAGCCGGCCGTGTGAGCCTGCTTGTACATGTGACGATGATCGATCTGACGGATGGTATACGTACGACTGTAGAAGACACAGATTCGTCACGGCCGGGAGCGGGCGGGGACGAAGTGACTGCATGCATGCCCGCATCCGGCCGGATTCGTCATGGAGTCACGCCTGCGTCGTGCACGACCAAGTGCTGCTTGCACAGTGTCGCCGTGCACTCTCCACACATGACATCTGTTACTGCACGCGTCCGCTGTCTCAACTCTCAACCTGTGACAGCTTTTACTGCTGCTGGCATGCATGTTTCAACGGCTGATAAACCAACTGGAGCTGAATTATTATGAGAGAAAAACACTGCTGATAAATTCAAGCAAACAAGGCCCTAAGGACTTCTAAACTTTTTTAAGCCTCGTTTGGATGTGTTGGAGTGGACTGAGATAGAATTTAGTTTAATTTTCACCTAATCCACCCCATACATGTGGATTTATGCAAATCCGACTACGTCAAACAAGGCCTTAAGTTTAAAAAATTATCATTGTGATGAGATATATTTTCATAACATACGGAATTTATGTTCTATGAATATTGATATGTTGTTCTAAAATTACATCCATTCCAGGCGTAGTAGTACTACACACGGGTTAGCGCTGCTTGCTACGGCCGGCAACGCCGTACAGATGGCAGCAGTACGTACAGTGCTAGTGTACTACACTAGGTTAGGTTTATATAGCATCGACACGTTGTTAAGGTTGCGTGCTTAATTAATACTGTAGGGATTGTCGGTTAACTAACAAGCAAAAGCACTCAGTAATGGCTGCCTCTGCCATATCTTCTGGTTAGGCGGCCTTTGGTGTTGCCTATAATGTCGTTGCCTATAATCTCCTGCTGAGGCACCCTGTTCATAGGTTTATTTCCGGTGGCTAACCCGTCCTCGTGCATGCACCGGCTGTCGTCTCACATCTTGTATCAGTGTCGGTGCAAGAGTAACCTACGAGTAAATATTTGTAGTTTTATTATGCGTTGTGATCGGACGTGGTCTAACACTTAATGACACATGATTTATATTGGTTCAGGCAACATACCCTACGTCCAGTTGAGGTTAGTCGGTGACTTTTATTCCTGGGCCCAGGTACTCGAAGTTTGCTGTGGGGTTACAAACGGATAAGGAATGAGAATGGGGTGTTAGAGGCCCGGTCGGACTCTGAACCGAGTGGAAGAGAGTGGCGGATGCTCAAACGTGCGCTAGGTATTGGAACGTATGCTCTGTGTGTCCGAGCTTATCAGCTGTTGAGAGCGTGTAGACTGTGTAGCTGTCAAGTCCTAAAGCTATTGAGCTGTCGAGTCGACCAGTCTTCGGAGGGGGGGCTTTTAGGAGAGAGATCATCCCCTTTTATAGTTGAAGGAGATGGTCTTACAAGTCAGAGAAAAAGAGAGAGTGTATACATGTGCTGCATAGTCTTGTTGCCCACACCATCGGGTACGGGATGGCCGTCGGCGCCTACAATACTGTTTATGTTCAGACACATCTGGCAGATTCTACCATGTTCGCCTAGTACGGCAAAAAACGCACGCACGCCTCGCAATATCATTTATATACTCGACGCGTCTCGGCAAGCTCTCACTGTTCGCTTTGACATACCCCGATGGCACCGCCCCTGTAGGTGCGCAGAGAGCATGTCGTGGTATGATTCTCAGATTACGGTTGACTGAAGCGCCTTACCTTATATGCTCTCCCTGCTCCCCATGCCCACACCGAGCGGGCGTCCCCGATCAGTCGTTCCCAGTTGGTCCCAACCGTCTCGGTCAGGAAAGAGCAATGAGCAGAGGTCCGGCGTATCCTTGGTCGGAGAAGGGGGTTGGAGTTAGACTGTGGTCCCACCTTGGCTAGGTCTTTCCAATCGAGGACCGGATCGTTGTTTCGGCCTGTCATTATATATCTGGGCCAGCTCAGACGCGTGCTGTCACTGCGACGCTTGCTGGACCAAGTTTTGTAGGGAAACGGATCCATTAGGAACTCTGTGTTTATAAATCCGACAATTAGCAATCCGTGGAAAGAGGAAGCTGGAACTCACATGGCGAGTGCATGAGTGCATGTCTGGCAGTAAACAAGTCGGCCGGAGCCCAGTCAGAACAGAACCCCTCTCGTGACATCACGTTACCGGCAGCGCTGCCTGCTCCGTGCTGCTGGTGGTAAAATTAGGAGTGATTGGTTTCTCCTCCTAAACTTTAGTTGTTGTTTCATTAAATATTTGATACATGTATGGAGTATTAAATATAGACTAATTACAAAATTAATTGCACAACTTGCGACTAATTTGCGAGACGAATCTTTTAAGTCTAATTAGTCCATGATTTGACAAGCCGAAACACTGTTCCAGCTGATTTGTTGTGAGAGAAAAACATATTGTTTCAGCTAAAAAAATAAACTGAAAGTACGCATTATAAGAGAAGCGAACAGAGCCAATGTAGTGCTCCAGTAACATGGGTTAATGACGGATTAATTAGGCTTAATAAATTCGTCTCGTGGAGTGCTAACAAATTTTGTAATTTATTTTTTATTAGATTCGAACATTATTTTTTATTAGTATCCGAATATCCATTACGACATCTCACGAGACATATTTTAGTTACGGATCCTAACACACCCTCTAACCGTTTGCGCCAATCAAGGAAGCGCGGGATGGCTGCGACTGCGAGCACTCCCATGGGCCATGGCGGGGTTGCGGTGGTCCACGTCCACGCACGTCGCCGCTCGTCACAAGTCCCGATCGACGCCGCCCGCCGGCCGGAAGCGGGAAATTGGGAGTGGATGGAGGCACAGCGCGCAGCGGCGGCAGGCAGGGGCGCGAGGCCACCCGAGGGATTCGGGCCAGGGAAACCGGCCTAGCCAGATGCTGAGATACAGGTTTACCACCCACGCTAGCTGGATGGCTGTGGTTGCAACTCTGCAAAGTCAGCAGCAGGTGGTGGTTTATTTCTGGTACCGTAACTTTCTGCGGCAGCAAGGGCGCAGCGAGCAACTCAGATAAAACTCTGATGCTACGGGCCAGCGGCGGGTTGGCCCGGCACTGGGCGGCCGGATCGGAGATCGGCGTTAACTGGAAGCGAACAAGAAGGCAGGCCGGAGAGAGACACGCGCATGGAGGCGAGCGCGGGTGGGGGAGGGGGTGCCCCGGGACCAGTGCGGGTGGATCTGCTGCCCAGTGCTGCGTGGGCTGGAGAGGAACTGGACCCCCACCCCAAGCCTGTTTCTCTTTCTTTGCCTCCCGCCATCATCATCATGCTGGCTGCTGCTGCGTGCTTTCATTCATCCTCGGTTGTTTCTTCTCCTCCTCGGCTCATCCATGGTACTCTATCTAATTATCTAGCGGAATCACGTCAGTGCTCCTCGTACACCAACGTTAACTGACGACGAGTTATTCAGTTTTTTTTCACTGTCCTTCCTGCTCCATGCATGATGCATGTAGCCTTATCTTCAGATGCATGGTTAATTA